TATGCAAGAGAGGATTTGGGAAATGTCATTACTGTGGAAGTAATGCTAGAGCCAGAGAGAGAAACATAAAGAGAAAGGAAGACAGTTAAACAGGGGTGCTTGGGTGGCTCAGTTAGTTAAGCATCTGCCTTCAGCTCAGGTCATGAACCTGGGGCTCTGGGGTCCTGGGATGGAGCCCCCTTCTTCCTCTCCCTCTGCCCTCACCACTTATTCTCTCTCTCTATCACAAATAAATACATCTTTTTAAAAGTTTTAAAAAAGATAGTTAAGCAGAAATTAGCAAATTTTCTTACCATGCTTTGGTGGGTAGCCATATGTAGAAAGTTATATGGATCATAATCTTTATATATATATATATATATATATATATATATATATAACACATAATCTTTATATATATATATAACATGTATATAAAACTAAGAATATTTCTTAATGATTCTATTCTTCTTGTTAAAAAGTGTTATTAAATAATATGTTGAGATCAGAAGCTGGCATAAGTAATACATTAATGGAATTGGAAATTATATAAATGATAGCTATCTTTCCCTAAATAAACCAGAAAGTAAAAGGTGGCCCCTTTCCCCAAATGATGTAGTTTTATTCTTTTGATTGTAACCAAGGTATTACTATCTTTCCTATTGAGATCTTTTTTGTTTTGTTCATTTAACATTCAATATTTACTAAAACTCTATTGTCATAGACAACTGATGACTCAGTCTTCATGCATGAAGAATTCCCAGGTCTAGTGGAGGGAAATGGAAATATAAATGGGAAATACACAGCAATATGATAAGTGCTAGAACAGAAGTACAGTACATGCAGAGCACCATGGGATGCAGCCAAGGGGCAGACCAAACTCTCAGGCTTTGCATCTTCAAGGAACAACAGACTCATGACGCCTTTCTGTATCTCAATAGAGTGCAGGATCATGGTAGTTATTTACAAAGGAAGTAAGACTCAATGACCATAAAGAGCAAGGTGAAAGGCTGCTGAACAGTTCTGAGGGCAAAAAGAGCAAGAGTAGAAAGAAATAAAAACACTGAGAGAGACACAAATTGCTCTAGATGACAAAATAGGTATCTAGAACTACAAACACACACACAACCCAGGCTCACTTTTACACAGGCACATAGTGAGACTTCCCTCGAGTGACAGAGTATCAAGGATTAGTACAGGCAGCGTGAAAAGACAAATGAGTATGTGTGTTCAGATTTCCTGGAATCTATACAGGGATCCCAATTTCCCTTCACATAAGTAGCACCATTGATATAAGTAGGAAACAAAGGTTCCATTAAGGCTTATTATGGGATTTAGATACTCTGGTAGAATTTTTCTGCCCAAACTGTTTCAGTTGCTTATTTTAGGTGAAGTACTGAGAATTAAGATCTTATATCACATCTTTTATTTTTAGCTTTATAGTCCAGAATCATCTATGGTAGAAAAAAAAGTGTCCTATAAAACGTAGCAAAGACCTCATGAATACATGCCAGTACCTCCCCAGACTTACATCTGAAAACCAAGTAAACAGCAATGTCATTTGAGTTTCCTTTTTAAAAACAGGTTATATACATTAAGTGCAGACAGTTTTTTTAAAAATACTGCCTGAAATAAGACATCGTTATTTTTAAGAGTCTTCATTATATTGATTTACTTGGATTTCAAATTTTCACATAAAAATTGGGGAATGGCAACTAAGTTTTTATAATGATGTATCACCTTCAAATATGTCAAACATGATTTTTAAAAAAGATACTTAAACGTACTAATGCTTAACACTTTAGTAAGGCATCAGTCCAATTATGTAGTTTTGTAATGTATTCAAGATAACATTTATAATTGTTGATGTCATCACTACCAACAGTGATGGTTTTCTTCTTGCTGTTTTCTGGCTATGAAATTCTTCGATATGTGAATGTATTATTAGCAAACATTATAGTAGAAGTCCTAAATCAACAAAACCAACATCCCAGACCTGGAAGCCTATAGTTTCCTCAAATATTAACTAAATATGATTTTATGATTTCAATGGATACATTCAAAATATTCAGAATTTGGTACACCACTGCCATCACCATCAGCACTGCACAAAACAACCTAAAACTGTATTTATTGCATATAAAGAGTCGTCTATCCAATTTGTGCCACTTCTATGATGTAATGAACATAGAAAATATTTCCACTCAAGGTTTTCGGTACTTAGTACAACAAATAAAACAGAAGTAAAAAAAAAAAAAAAAAAGCTGTGGAGAATAATTTTGTTATTTATTACCTTGATAACTTACAGGATAGTCTATTTTTCTATAGAAAATAGAAATCATATATTAATGTAAAATGAAGAATTTTTAAAGCGTTATTTTAAAACTTGGGATTACATGTTACCATATAAAGTAAAGACGTTTTGAAATAAAATTAGATATGAGTAGCACAACTGTATGTAATTGTTAACCTCTAACCTCGTGAATATCATTATATGGTAGTTTATTTGAAATGGTATTAAATAATTCTTTCATAAGATTTTACATATCATTTATATAAAATATTTAAGATTTAATATACTTTGCATAAATTGTACTAAGAGTCTGCAGATTTCCACATTCCTTTCCTACAACACAACATAGCCAAAAAGGTCTTCTTTGAATGAGGTAAGGAATGCTGTATATATTTTATAAGAATTACTTATAAATGCATCAGCTACAATTATGTCTTCAGGACTTACTTATCCTTACATTTCTGACTCAGAATACCTAAACAATTAATGAACACAAATTTAGAATAAGGAGAATACAGGCTGTGCAATTTTACTGATACAGTATATATTCTTCCCCTATTACATAAAGTTTTCCTAGTTCAGTTCATAGTAACAATTTTCACATAATCACTTATTTGTCTGTGGAGCTGTTCCTTTCTCATTTTGCCAGCTAACTAGCCAAAAGAAAAAGATGTGTTCCCACGTGACTGTGATATATACATCGAATGCCTAAAATCACTCATATTCTTACTCATTTACAAAACAAAAGGCTATCTAGTCCAACTTCTATAAATCCTAGCACTGTCTCAACCCACATCTCATGATCGTGACCTGCAAAACCTTTGAAAATCATGCTTAATATGCACACAATTTTGTTTTTGTCACTTGCTACCATTCACAAAAAAAGAAAAAAAAAAAAAGCTTCCAAAACTAGTTTCAAGTCCCACTCCTCATCCGCAGACAATTTCATGATGGAATTTTACCCACTGAAAAAACAGATTCTCTAGATTTTATTAAAACAACAATAAAACAGACAAATACTAGTTCTGATGTTAATTGTCTTATTAGCCAGCTTGTAGCATCACATTTTCTGTGTGTACTGTAGCTTCTTATTCTAGGGGACACTAATTAGTTTTAAATGGTGTTAAATACCATCCCTGCAGTTGCAAGTGCTTCTCTGGGATTTTTACTGGAGAAAAGAACTCCTGTAATTTAAAACCACTTTGTTTTCTTCAGCCACAGCTGTTAGCGAAACACTGACCTGTAGAAATCGGAAAGGTTTTCAGCCCTCTCTCATTGCCATTAGTCTGCATTTATTTTCTAACACATCTTCTCTCCATGTACCATTGCTCTTCCATAATCCCCATCCCCCAAATTGCTTTCAGTGGAGAAACCGCATTTAGCTAGTTAAGCCCTCCTCTCTCTTTCCCTCCCCCCTCCCCTTACAAAGCCTTGGCTACTCTTAAAGAAAATTCTCCAACAACGTGTCAATTTTATATTGGCCACAAAGACAACTTCTGTTGGGGGAGGGGGAGGAAAGAGGGACTGGAGCTTGGCTGTCCCTTTCCACAGACAGGGATCTTTGTGGCGATCAGAAAACATTTCCTGCATAAAAAATCAACACACTCTCTAGTTTCAGGGTTGGGGAGCGAGAACGAATGCGTATCAACCGTGTCCTCAAAGGAATGGAATCGCATCCGCTAACCTTCCAAACAGGAAAGTCATTTTCACAAAATATGTCAGCTTTCTTGCATTATTAAACATGATCCAAAATCTGAAATCCTCTGGTAGCTCCCCCACTGGGGATTGGGTGAAAGCTATAAATCACTCCTGTACTTTCTCTTTTTCCTCTGCATTTCCGTTGCACTATTTTTTCCATCTAGCTCGTCTCTGACACGCTCTCACTCTCCTCGTGTATATCAACAGGGGACCAAGAAGAGCAAAAATCCCGCAAGAGGGCTATCAGGTTTTACAGGATCAGCCTGTGTTTTAATTCTACCCTTCACCCCTGCCTCCAAGTGGCTTCACAGCCAGAAGACCCCAGAGTTTACGCTTCCAGTGGGGTTTCCTTGACCCACAAAAGAGCAAGTACGCAGGATTTATTGTGCAATGCATTTTTTTTTTTTTTAATTATCCGGCCTCTGGGGGAGGGGAGACACCCTTGTCTTCAGGTGTCAGAAAGTCATTTGGTCAAAACAGGCCTGCTATTGAGTTTGTGTCACTTTTTTGTCCTGCCTCCACAACTTGGGGCAGCACAACTAAAGGGGTCTCTTGGTTGAGACACGGAGATAGAGAGGGCAAAGGAGAGAGGAAGTAAAGAGTACTTTTTACAGGGCTACAGCATAAAGTAGAAATCCTACAAATCCACTTCACAGGAGTGTGAGTGAGAAAGAGAGCACATGTGTAGAGGTAGGTCTCCACAAGGGGCTGCAGCCCAATAAAGAACCCCCCTCCCCAACCTCCATCGCAAACTGGCTCCACATTTTTGCCTCTCTTTTCTCCTGAATATTCCATATACATTAACAGAGCATGTTGATGAGACCTACCCAATCCTCACTGCCCCATCTCTAAAATCTTGAAACCCAAAATTAGCTTAAGAGGCCTATATTAGTGAAGATCACAAATCAAATGACTCCAAAGATGATAAAGTTAAAGAGCAATGATTAAGCCCTTCTGTTGAAACAGAACATCTTAATGCCATCTCCCAACACCCCTCCCTCCCATCTCCCCCTCTCTACTGGGCACTTACCTTCTTTGGGCGGTCGCTTGGCCTCCCTGGTAAGATTGCAGACCTGGGTGGTTTGCAGCTCCTGGGTCAGACAGCCCTCGGTCTGCTCATTCAGGGGTAACACCACGTTATTTAACAAAACCAGCGACTGGTCGTCGATCCCCCACTCTCCCAAATGCTGAGGGCAGGTGCATTTTGTATACATGATCCCACATGATTCTGTTCTCCCATTTTCTGATTTTAAGCAGCTCTCCAACCAAGTGCATAATACATGGCAACCAAACTGGCTTGGGCTCACCTTGTTCAATACCAAAAACTCAAAAAAAGATTTCTGATCTTCTTCCCCTTTTTTCTGTAATCCTGGGAAATCAGTTGGAAACACCCGACGTATTTGAATAAAATTTTTATCATATTGTAGAAAAACGAAAGCATTCTTGGAATCGCAGAGTTGCATTATAGAATGATTCTTTCTTAAAAGATCCTTTATTTTTTCATGGGAAAAATGATCAAACTGATAAGCCAAGAGGGAAAAGTTAGAGCAGCTAAGGTCCTTTTTGGAAAATTTCAGGTAAATGCTATATTTGGTTGGATCTGGATTTTCCAGCGTCCAAGTGCAGTTTGTAAAGTTTTTGGGAAACATTTCACTTACAGAATACGATCCATAAATGACTCCCTTCACCAAAGTTGAACACCAGAAGTCTTGGGCAGCATTAAATCCAAACATAACCAGGAGATAGGTGGAAAATATATAAATCAGCAGGTTACGAACAGCCTTCATCCTATGTCATTTGGCCTGTAAAAATGGCAATGAAAGTAAAATGCAAGTAGGAGTCTTTGCGCATTGAAAAAAGAAACTCCTTCCAATATTACAGCCAGCTGTTTTCAAGACTTCAGTAAAAAAAAAAAAAAAAAAAAACCCTTTTTAAAAGAAGGGCAGGTAATTTTTTATTTTATAACGCTAGGAAATTATCTGTTGCTGTGTGAACAGCGCCCTCACGTGGTCACTCACAATGGCCAAATTCTCTACATTCAACTTAAAAATGATATTTAATATATGATTAACAGGAATGCTCTAATTTACCTACCAGGATTTCCTCCAAGTACATTATGATTCCATTGAAAGAAGAGGAAAACAGATCTTTTTAAAAATATCATAACCTAAATTTTAATTTTTGAAATATTTTTAAGCAACCAATACCTTTTCTCTCAGTCAGCCTGCAGTAAACATCATCACACAAACTCTAATCTGATAATCTGGGAACAGCTGTCATCACATTATTTCTTTTATCTTAAATATGAAAAGCAATCTCGATAAAGGATAGCCACAATTTTAAACACACGAATGACAATTTGTTGCAGATGAAACATCATCTCCCAAATGCCCATACTTGTCTTTGCAGGGACCACCGTGTGAACTGATGAGAATTCCTGTGCAAAAACACCGGCATTCATGTGGATCAACAGAATTTTAAAACCATCATCTGAGAAAGGGCATAGATGGGTAGATACATAGGAAAGACTTGTTGTTCAACATTACCACTGAGAACTAGGATTTAAAGCAGTCATTTCAATGTGACATGCCCTCTTGGGATACACAAAGTGGATCACTGTATCTGTATCCAAAGGCTAGATCAGTGAAAAATCCCAGAACCACAGTAATTGAGCTGGCTTCAGTCTTTTAATTTTTTTTTTTAATTAGGGCTATTTTATCTAGAGTTATCTACTGTAATTTAAGATTTACACATGGTAGATAAAAGACATTAGCATCTTCTTTCTAGCAGATTTCATTACTGAATTGCTCCCTTTCCAATAGGAGCTCCAAAGCTCCTTTTCTTTATGTTTTTCAACCTGGTCTTGCATAACAAAGTAATCCTTGGGTATATTTACCTCTGTAAGTTGTTATCCAAAAATAACTTGAATTTTTTCAGCTTTAACCTTTAAGAAGTTATCTCTTAGAATAAATGACACTGCTTTTTTGTTTAGCCTTTGAGCTGAGAAAAGTGATGCCAAGTTAATTATAAAAGTCTTTAGGCTGCAGTCTCTTCCACTGTTCTGTAAACAGAGACAGACATACAGACATATAGACAGTTAAGAGTTTTCGTGTCTTTGCCTGGGTCCTCTCTGAACCAAAGGTTTTAACAAAACCCTCTTCCTTCCCATTGCATAACACACACCAACGCATGCACACAAATACCAGTGACCGAAGTCCCTGAAGATAGATCTGCATTTTCCAGATTATAATTCAAGTTCTATGTCTTGATATAGGAGAAAACAGCCCCAACTCTAAATCTCTATATAGCAGCAGTTTAAAATAACATCAGAACTGCTGGGACTATCAAAACAGCGTTCTCCGTTTCAAGCATACAGATCAATGAATAATGCATTTTCTTCGGAGAAAATAAAGCCAATGAGCATTTAAAGGTTAAAAAATTGGGAAAGTTGCAGGAAATTCTGGAAATTATTTCCTTTTTTTTTTTTTTTTTTTTTTGCTGTAGCACTTTGCAGGCAATGCAGGTCTGCGCAGTGTTCTTCAGGGTAGAGTGTAGGCGTTGAGAGCCAATGTGACAATAAGTGTCTAAATTAGGAATTCCATCCATGAAAGGGGGCTTCATTTTATAATAGGCACCTCAAAAAGAGGTCGTATTTCTTTTCCTAATGATATCCAGTACTTTTGCTTCCATTTATGACAGTACATGTCTGCATTGCTGTGCTCATCAGGATTAGAAAGAGTGAGGAAATAGCTCTGATTTCACTTTCAGGCTTGCTCAAGAGAGCCCCCTCAATATAATGCTCTTTATTTTAATCCTTAAGCCACGGTGTGCGGAGCCTTGTTTTATTCTAAAGAATCGAAAACGAATCATTGAACTCTGCCGCCCCCCCCCACCCCACCCCCGCCCCCGGCTGCGGGGCCAGTTCAAACAATTGTATTTCCCTCTTTAGGAAAGAAAGAATGGGGTTGGGGCTGACTAAGGGACGGCTACCAAGGTCTCAAGGATGTTGCATTTATTTATTTATTTATTTTTTATTTTTTATTTATGTGTCTCCTGCTGAGAAGCAAACCGGCATTTAGTTTAGCTATTCTCAAAACTGATTTTTCTGGGTGACACTTTAGTTCAGTCGAACATAGACGGCGCCATCACTCCACTAAATGTTTTCCCCAATAGAAGACCCACTGCCTCCCCTTATCTTAACTTCGTCCTACCCTAAAAATCTCGCCTCATAAAATCACCCCGATCACATACAACCGTCAGGTCTCCTAGGTCTCCCTGCCTATTCCTTCCGACCCAGCACAATCTCTTGGAAAAAAAAAAAAAAAGAGAGAGAGAGAGAGAGAGACTTCTCTAACTTTTCAACTGCGGCGTTTAAGTAAACGCAGACAGCCGGGTTTGCTCGCAGCCCCTCCACCTGCCAGCAACAGCCTTTCCTCGCCCTGTCCTCCCTCCGCCAACACTGGACGAGAGCTTCTCGGTGGCGACCCCAGGCCGAGGGAAGGTGACCCCTGGACCCTTCCTTACCTTCCGCTCCGAAAGCTCGCGGAGGCTCTGCTCTAAGACACCAGCACCGGCACGCGTCCCAGCAACAGTGACGGAGAGACTCCCCTTCGGTCCCAGTCACCGTTGCCCATTTTCCCCGGCTCAGCTTCAAAAATCAGGATTTATCTTTTTTTTTTTTTAATGCACACTTAAGAGAATCAAAAGATCGGAGTAAAAAAGAAAAAAAAAATCCAAAAGGGGAGGGGTAGCAGCCACAAAAAAAAAAAAAAAAAAAAAAAGCCCCCAAGACCCCAGAGCCTGACGCCGTATGCAACTGAACCCAACCTCCAACCGAGGTGGGGGGGTGGGGGTGGGGGAAAGAAGCCCCCGCACACAGACTCTAAGGAAACCAACAAACAGCAACGAAAAAATATGCAAGTGGCTTCAAAGCGAGGATTCGCTTTTTTTTATCAATTCTACCCCCAACAAACCGATTAGCCAAGAAGCAAAGAAAGCGCCGAGACGAGAAGTGACCGGCGGCAGCAGCGGCTGCTGAGGCAGATTTGTTGGGGCGGTGGGTTTATTACGGGAGTATTCGTGGTCGGCTCGGAAGGCTCAAGCTCATGCTTTTTCCTCTTTCCGCTTTCCTCCCTCCTCCTCCTCCCCCCGCAGGTACTGATGGACGGACCGCGACTAAGGAGGGGGGGGGGGGGAGGAAAAAAAAAAAAAATCCTTGGCTGGTGATGTCGGAGAGCCGTTTGAATGCCCAGCGAGGAGGGGCGCGAGAGGGAGCGAGATAGTAAAGCTCTGTCTCGGGTGTGCGCGCCGGCTCTCCCCGGGCCGCGCGCGAAGGAGGGGGGCGGTGCGCGTCCCCGGGGTGCGCGCGCGCGCCCGTCTCCCGCGTGCTCGTGCGCGCGCTCCCCCCCCCCCCCCCCCCCCGCTGCGGCCGGCGCCCGTGCAGCGCGCTAGGCGGCCGGCTCCGAAGCTCGACGAGCGCTGCGCCCTCCCGGAGTTCTGCTCCCGAGGGCGCGGGCGGGTGTGTGTGCGAGGGAAGAGGAGGGGAGGCGGGGGGTGGGGGTGGGGGTGGGGGGGCTGCACGTCACGGCTACTCAAAACCAAGCACGTCCCGAAAGCAGTATTTTCTGCGTCTGGGAGGTTTTCGCATCCTCAGTTCCCACCGCTGGGGCTGGCGGCGACCAACTGTAAGAGAAACTCCCTGGGAGGCGAGGCTAGGGGGGTGCGGAGGGCTGGAAGGCGACTCTGGCGGGTGGGAAGTAAATACTGGACTTGATCGTCTTTTCTTTCTTCCAGCGCGGACCTGTCGCAGCCCAGGAGCTGTCGTTTCATCACCGGGATCCCGATGAATTGATCCGGTCCTCCGCGAGGGGGGCACATCTCAGCTCCCGAAACGCTGCGTGTCCCTCTCCGGCGGGAACAATACTAGTTTTTCCCAGCGAGGCTGCAATTAACATCTTATTTGTTCTGGGCTAGATACAGGCTTTGTCCGGACCGCGGTGCGGCGACCGAGGTTGGGCGTCTTGCATTGCTCTCTGCATGGCAATGGGATCGTGGTCGTGGGGTCTAAACTTTTGTGTTCTTAATGTATCTGATTCTTTTTCAAGTTTCCCTAGTAACAGGTTTGTGGCCAGGGGTGGGGGGGAAAGAAAAAAAGAGAACGAGAGAAAGGGGGAGGAAGAGCTACCAGATTCTCGATTTAGCAGCAAAAAAAAAAAAAAAAAAAGACGAATTTCTGTCACTCCCCACCTTTCCTATTTATTTATTTATTTATTTAGCCCCCTGGACGGTTGGCTGACAAGTATTTGATGAACCGGCTTCAGATACAATGCTGCAAAAGGTCATTCGCCTACTGATGATGTCTCTACTTGTAAACGCAGTTGGTGGTTTGCAAAACAAGTGGCAAAATAGTGTGGTGATATGGTGGGGGAGACCACAGTGGGTAATTCATTTAGTGTCGGAGTCTTCCTAAGGGTGAGTGGCTTGAGGGGCAGGTGAAGTGGAATAAAACAAATTTCCATCATTTTCTCCCCGTACACTTTCGACATTTTTCTTCCTCTTTTTGTTCCTCTCCCCTGGGGCAAATGGAGAGCTGAGAACGCCGTTTTAGAAGAGGACTGTGGTGAAAACAGAAAGATGCCAATGATCTTTTATTCCCTGGAGTTGTTTGAAACATTAAAATTGGCCCTTTACTTCTTAATACATATTAATAGGGTGACCCTCTTCAAGGCTTTCTCTTCTAGGACAAGTGTTCAGAATAACATCCTGTAAGGGAAACAGTTAATCATTCCCCAACCAACAAGCTTTAACCATGTTCCAGGAACATTCACGGGCTGAGAGAGCAGCCTGTGTGGCGTGTTGGTTTCTTGTCATTTTTGGTTCATTACAATGTTTTTTAATCATTTAAGGGAATGTGAAAGGAAAATAAGGTTTCCGTCCAGGGCATAATCCAAAACACTGTGTCTTAAGCAAACATGTTTTCTTTTAAACACAAACAACATTCAGCAATACAAAGGAGAGTTACATTTCCTTTATTTCAACTTCCATAGAGATTTTAATTATGATTTTTGTAAGACATTTTGGTCAGTTCTGTTATTTTGCCACAAGCAAAAATGGATATTAATGACAGATGCTATAAAATGGGAAAAAAAGGAGAGGAAACAATGTGGGGTTTAGATATATAGCTATCTTGCATCTAGTAATTTCTCACATTATCTTCAGACACTGTGATTTTGATGTTTCTTAGAAAATCTCAACGTCATGACATAGCGACATAAGAATAACAGCCGAAAGGGACAATTCAAAAAGACTTAATCCTAAATGGAAAGAAGTACTCATTCCCAGGGTCATTTATATTCAAGTAGAACACAGGGCTGGGTCAGGGAGAAAGCCACCCTTAATAAAGCACTTCACCCTTCACACTGTTTCCCATAACCTTCATAAATTGCAGGCTACTGAGCCAGCCTGATGATGATCCTGCTGAGGTATATTTATAGCAGATGATTTGTGGATGATAAATATGCCAAGCAAGGCACCATCTCCAGTAACCCCAGGCTGGTCTGACTTCCTCAGGGGGGTCATAATCAAGAATCACAAAAAGAACCATATATGGAGAATCTGCTCTCTGGACCCTGACAACAGCACAATCCAAAGGCAAACCGAGGAAGAGCCACCCTGATTCATGTCTGTACTATGTTCCATGTGAAAACACTGCTGACATATTGACCCAACAATAAAAAGAGCAGCAGTTTACACACTGTAGGCTCTCTGTGTCCTTTCCTCCCTATTGAGACTGGTCTGTTTTAATGCTTTAATATATTTTAAAAATCACCACTTCAGATTATAATTATCAGCCTTCATTTGCCTCTCACAAGTGCCCATGTGTATCTGTGTATGTACGTCTGTATGTATACAAACACAGATCTATATTTAACACATAATATATGTGTGTATATATGCATACATTATATATGTGTGTGTGTGTGTACACGTAAT